TGAGAGACATGTAGGTAACTTAAGAAAGGCGTGGAGTCTCTCTTGTGTGCTCATAATTTGTTGTTTATTTCTGTGATAGTGAACATGAAAAAATTTGTGCATAAATTTGAGTCTTTGTTTTCACCTCTTTTGGAAAAAAATCAGTATTTTACTTCCGGTGATAGAGAAAAAAATGTCATTTCTACCTTTATTTTTAGATATTACTTTGTATCACTTTTAAATTAATTCATTTGATAAAGTTTAGCAAAAAATATTATTTTTAATAATGCTTGTATGACAGTATGTTAAGATACACCCTCTGCATATAGCTACTGGAGTTAGGAATATCTTACTTCTATCATTTGACCTGTGGAAAACTGTTATGAAGACAACTAATGTTTATTAACTATAAATAATAAATTAAACATTAAGAGTATACACACTGAAGCATCATTAGTGAGCTACCAAAAACAACAAAAACAACATCCAAGCCTTATTCCCAAAAGATTTTGGGGTCGGCTAACATGAATCGATCCATGATATCGGTACCAAAAAGAGAACAATGGGATCACCATAATCTCTGATCATTATTCCCATATTAGCAATCTTATTCTGTTTTCGAGTCGCACCATTATTAACTTTGCATGGTTACACCAACCTAATTCAATTTTGTCCCAAGCATCTTTTCTGATTTCTTCTTGTTTCCTTTTCAGAGTATGAATTTGGTGTTAAGACTCCATTTCCACAGTTCACTGACTAGCCAAATGCTGAAATTTTTATTCAATAGTTCCCTTCATGTTAAAGTTTATTTCTAGCCTCAGAAGTAATGAAAATTCAAAAGCAACATTGATAGTTTTATGAAAAGTGACTGCTATTTGATCTACAGTCTCCGCACTATTACAGCTGCCACATTTAGATGTCAAAGAAATTATAGTCCTGTTTGCCACAGATCGAATCCAAAGTTCTCCAAAAAAGGCATTTTGGGGATCCCCGATATATTCCTATTGAAAGTTTGAAACCACTGGCTGTTATTATTATTTCTCAGAAAGTCGAGGCATTTTTTTACAGAACTGGCCATGCCTACGTAAGCCCCAGTCACGTACATCCTTTCCTGTCAGTGTGGGGATATCCACAATCTGCTCGACCTTCTCAACATGAACAGATGCAGTAGTTTAGACTCATCCCGCTAGAACTTGATGATATAAGTTATTCATAAGCCTTTCAGTGTTTTTTAAAAGCAACCTCAGAATTATCCATTATGCATCACTCTTATTTTTATATTAATTTTAATTTTACTTACAATACCAAATCGATATATCATTGCTATATACTCTTTATAGTAAATATGTTTTAATATTAGGTTATGTAATTATATTATACATGTAGTGTACTTTCAAGTTATCGTCTCTGACCAACTAACAATGCAATATTTAATGGTGTATGAAATTGTTAATTAAGAATACTGTTTAACTACAGTCTCAACAATCTTTTCAATCTTGATTGTGTTTGTCACTCTCACAAATCCACAATTTTAATATTTGGTGTTTTTGTATAGGTACCCCTATGTAACAGGCACTTCAGTGGTTGGAATAAAATTCAAAGATGGTGTACTAATGGTTGCTGATATGGGAGGTAGTCCCCCCCCAAGCAGTTAGTTTCATACGTAGTATAATCGTATGAGTTGTTTGTTATGAGTCTGAGTAAGGACATGATCCACTGTAGGACTAGATCATTTTATTCTATCTCTGCAACTAAAGCATTAGTGGTGTACCCCTTGCCTTCCTGCATCACCAGTGTTTACATTGTAGAATAATTTCCCCCCTGTTTTAAGACAACGTGGGAATAACCTTTTCTTTCCTTCCCTTTCTTTCGTAATCTCTATATATGCATGCACTCACATACATACATATACATATACATGTATACACACATGTACATATACACACATACATGTGCCATGTATACACATCCAAATCAGTTAGTTTCATACGAAGTATAATCATATGAGTTGTTTGTTATGAGTCTGAGTAAGGACGCAATCCACTGGAGGACGGTAGGACTAGATCATTTTATTTTATCTCTGTAACTAAAGAGTTAGTAGTGTACCCCCATTGCCTTCCTGCATCACCAGTGTTTACATTGTAGAATAATTTCCCCCCTGTTTTGAGACAATGTGGGAATAACCTTTTATTTTCTTCTCTTTCTTTCGTAATCTCTATATATGCATGCACTCACATACATACATATACACAACATAAACATATGTTCATATACATGTCTACACACATGTACATATATACACATGCATGTGCCATGTATACACATCCACGTCCACATATATGAACGCATACCTATATAATACACCCATATAAATGTATATTGTATATATGTCTACATGTGTGTATATATGTAGAAATGTATATATATACGTCGGTGTGTATACTACTGTCTGTTGGGAGTAAGGGAACATTTGGATTCCAAGATCCAGATTTTAAGCTAGGACATGTTCTCTGACATCTAAATCTACTTAGAAGGCTTATGATAGTATACTTAATACTAGATGTTAAATCATGATGTATGGGCTATGGACAAAGATCTGCCACCTGGTGCATCCGAAGACCACCAATCTCCACAAGTTCCTCAAGGCAGATGACACATTATTGGAAATGTGATTCTGCCATGGCTGCCATTTAATGACACTGACCCATTGATGTATTTTGATCTAGCATTTATGGTAATATTCTTTATCATTTATCATTTAAAGGGTCTTATGGATCCACCTTGCGTTATAAGAGTGTGGAGCGATTGAAGCCTATTGGGAAACACTCCATTGTTGGTGCAAGTGGTGAGCTTAGTGATTTCCAAGAGATATTGCGCTACCTTGATGAGCTTATGTAAGTTTTTTATAACAATATTGCTATTATTTTGTGACCCAATGTTGGTAAAACCTTCTTTATAACTGAATTATGTTTTCAACTAAACTCTTCAATGGATGGACAGCTTATACGACAATATGTGGGACGATGGAAACTCATTGGGTCCCAAGGAAGTTCACAATTATCTTACGCGTGTAATGTATAACCGACGGAATAAGTTCAATCCTCTTTGGAATTCCCTCATCCTTGGTGGTGTGAAGAATGGACAGAAGTTTCTAGGAACGGTAAAACACACACATTACATTCTTTTCTTATGCATACAACATTAAGAAGCTATTTTACTTTGTTGAGAAGTAATTTTTCTTAGTACTGCTCCTAGGTAAATATGATTGGTGTGCACTATGAGGACAATCATGTGGCTACCGGATTTGGGAATCACCTTGCTCTGCCCATTCTGCGTGAAGAATGGAATGAAAACATGAGTTTTGAAGAAGGTGTCAAATTGTTGGAGAAATGTATGCGTGTGCTTCTCTATCGCGATAGGTCTGCTGTGAACAAGATCCAGGTATATGAAGTTTCCTCAGGGTCCATATGGAATCTGCAAATGTATGTGGGGGAGGGGTATAAAAATGTTCAAGCTCAATCAATCAATTACAGATGTTTTATGAACCCTAGGAAATCTAATTATATGTAAATTTAAAATTGGTTTTTGATACTTGTATTTTCCAAAGAAACGTAAAATAAAAAATTACGTATTTCTTAGCCTTTTTTTCCCCCCTTCTGCTTTCCGTTTTGCAAGCATAGTCTTGCACTTTTGTGGATTTCATTTCTGAACTGCCGATACAGTAAAGTGGAAACAGTCTTTCTGACCAACTATCGTCGTTTATTTGTCACTTTCAAATGCTATCCATTTGAAGGAGATGGGGGTAGATAAGTACGATACCAAAATTGAACACTAACCAAATGAATTGCAGATTGTGAAAATCACCGAAGAAGAGGGTGCGACCTCATACCCGCCATACTCGTTAAAGACATATTGGGGTTTCTCCGCTTTTGAGAATCCAACAGCTGGTGCTGAAGGTTCATGGTAGTCACCAGCTCTCAGATGTGAAGAATCAAAGCTGTAGTAGTGTGTTGGTTGAAGCAGTTCTTACATTTACTGCCATCTTTGTTTTCGCACTTACTATTAATTAGTTGATGTTAACTAAAAGCCTGACTGCTTGAGTGAATTTGTGTTATCTTGTTTCCCTTGTTTCTTCTCATATTTTGACTTGCTTCAAAAATTTGTGCATGGTTCTTATTACCCACTTGATATTCTACATTTCTACCCGTCTAATTGCGGCACAGAGGTGGACAGAAAGTGACAGAAAGTAAATTCTACCCAAGCCGTGTAGGATGGACCTGGTTCAAGACCCAAACGGGTGTCTGGACCTTGCACTCTGGCAGTACAGACGGTACAATCCGGTTCTTATTTTAGTTGTTTTTTTCCTCGAGTAAAAAGCAGAATTCGTATGAGATGTGAACAAGAACCCGTTTGAGTCAGAACTGGAGTTAGTTATAACATGGTCAAGGTTCTGGTTTTCACACCCCCCATTCCATAATTGATCTGTTCTGGTTACTCTGGTATTGGAATGGATCTGGCTTGGGCATACCCGGTTTAAGGAAATTGTTAAGTTCATTGTTTTTATGGGAAGTTTAGGCATATATGATTTTCGTGTGTTTAATTTTGGGCAACTACTTTGTTCAACTTTATGCACGTACTCTCATGAAACATTCTATTTATGGAAAATTGTCAATCAAGTCTTATAATGTTTTAAAAAAATCCCTCCACACTTCAACTTCAACAAACTGAATCCTCAAACTACTGAAAAATGCTTGATTGGTCAGTTCTTCGATTATCAACAAGTTTTTATAAACTCTAAACTCAAAATCCCTGTTTTTATCAACAAGTTTATTTTTTTTTTTTGAAAATATCAAGTTTTTATAAACTCTAAACTCAAAATCCCTGTTTTCCCATTTGATCTCTTCCCTCAGTGCATTCTCTTCTTTTCCTTGGTGCTCAAATCTGACCCAATGCCCGGTGACCAAATTATCAGGGTGTCGCCCAGTGACCAAATTATCAGGGTGTCGCCTGGTGACCAAATTATCAGTGTGTCGAACATGGAACGGTGACAAAGGTGGGGCTTGAAACGACCCTTTTCCCATGCTCTACAGCGACGATGGAGCTTGAAATGAGCCTTCCGCCATGCTCGCAATGATGATGGATCTTGAAAGTTGAAACCACCCTTCTCTCGTGCACAGTGGATCCTACCACTCCTCACACACACACACACATCTACTGGTTCAGTTTCCACCGCCGTCGCCAAGACCTTCCAAGCAGCTGCTCCTGTTTCCATGCTTAGCGTCCTGGATTTGATAAGAGAAGCCTACCAAGAAGGAAGACTTTCTTGGGAAGAGTCCGAGACGTTCAGGTTCTGCCAAAAGAGTTTTTTACTTGATCGGAGTATTACCCAAATACCGTTTTCATTTCAAATTAACTTTATTTATCTGAAGTTCACCTGCATACTTATTGATTAACGCTAAACCAACAGTTAAAATATGTGCAGACTGCAGAGTAGTTCGAAAATGGGATCACACAGCAACAAAAACAATCAAGATATCTAAAGAAATAAAAAGATCGACTTACGTTTCACTGGTCACAACTGAACAAAGATGAAATAACACAAACATCTAATAAACACCACAAACAACACACCCTTCATTCTCATCGCATCATATCATCCTGGGCGGGGCAGCCTTGGCTGAGGGCAATATGGTACTAAAACTTTGAGCGTCAAGAAGCTCCCCGAGCCTCTTTTCGCTCAACCCAAGAGCCTTTGCCAACTCTCGCCCTCTCAGAAGTTGCATAACCGAACCTTCGCCTGCCAAGAACTGGGGCTGGTTGTCCCTGGCCGAGGTGGTGAAGCCGAAGAACTCGAAAGGACCATTCCGGGACGCTATCTGGCAGAACGGGAAGAACCGGGGCACCAAAAACACATCTCCCTCCTTCACCTCGGCTTTCATGGCGAGCGTTCCGTTGGGGAACACGACTTGAACCTCTCCCGTTCCTCTAAGAACAACCCCGTACTCTGTTGCTCTCGGGTTGATATGCGGCGCCATCATCGACCCCTACACAATTTAAAAATCCTACTCAAAGTAAGGAACCAACATATAAAGTCTACATCTAACACATAACTACACATCAGAGTAACATCCAAATTGTTTTTAGGATAAAATCCAAGTTGTTCAAGTAAGTCCTAATATGCCATCAAAATCAATATAATCTTGAGTCTGAGCAAAATCCAAGTTGTCTAAAAAAACATTTTTATGAACATGAGTACATGACAGACTAACCAATTGCACAATAATGACAACTACACAATACAATAATGAAACAATTGCAGGATATAGACGAAGTGTTTCAAGGTGAGGGTATTCCCTAGCAGTCAAATATGAAATGATAAAGGCTAAAGCTATTCCATTCAAGTTAACCTTAAACACACTAAAAAAGAGTGAAGAGGATAGAATACATACAGCAGTAAGATTGACAAGGTAAACAGTGACGTCGGGGAGTTTGAGAGGAGAGTAATCATTTTCATCAACAGCCATGCTCCACCCGTAGTCATTGCTGAAATCTGGCTTACTTTCATAGAGGTTGTAAGGATCAGTAGCATCGTCATTGTTGCTCATCAAGGGACTCATCAGCTTTCTGAACAGCCATGTCCATCCCTCTCCCTCTCTATCCACGGGTGCCTCAAAAGCCGCTGCCCTCTTCAAGAGTGCAACTCTCTCCTCTTGTTTCAGGTCTAGGAAACCAGTCCAGGCGTTTGCGGGATGATTAGAATCTGATAATGGCACGATCGGGCCGGACAAATTCGCCCCCAGAAGTTCCCCTAGCTCTCTCCCCGACACCTGTCATTCATTGATTCATGTCATGCTATGAAACTATTATCTGTGGAAGTCATTCACTCATTCTAAAGAATGTAAAAAGTCATATGGACTTGTAAATTGTAATATAATCAAGCTACCATAATTCTAAAGACAAGTTGAGGAGGTTAGTACTCACATTAAAAGCGGTTGATAGCGTCTTGAAATCAAATCCAGCAAGAACGGAGGCAGGATGTTTTCCGCCACCGATGAAGAACGGCTGTAAACGTGAAGATCTCAACATATAAGTTACAAATAACACATATAATTATTTCCACTTTTGGTCCTATGAATTTTATGTCATTTTCACATTTAGTCCCCTAGTCCCCATCTTTCAGTTTGTCCACTTTTGGTCCACTTTCTTGACCATTTGTTGTCCTTCACCAGCGATTTTAACCACCGGAATTGTTGTCGGAAGGACCATATATGGGCGAAAACACAATACTTATGTACCAAAAGTGGTCAAAATCAAAGAAGTGGACCAAATGTGGAAATGACATGATACTCAAAGTGAAATTAATTCTAACACACACATCAGCAAGTAGCTTAAAATCCATATTTTCTGGTTTTTGATGAATCCAAAATGTGAAGTAGGGGCAGCCTAAGAATACTAAGTAGTTAGGATCCATTTCAAGTTAGTAATACATACACATACCTGGAAAGGATTGGATCCAATGGTAGGAGAGGTGCCGACAATGCTGCAAATGATACGAAGCCTTTGCCCACCTGCAGTGTTGACCAAATAGAAAGCAGAGCCGGCTTCAATGGTGTATATATCCCCTGCTTTCAAGTCTCTCTCCACCAACTCATCCTTGTATATGTGGCCGATTCTTGCATCCCCTGTACGTAGCAATGCATGCATACGTCACATCATCAATATTAATTAGCCTATAGAGTAAAACTAAACATAAATGCACTAAACGTTTAAATGCATATAGTAATTAGGGCTGGATGATACTAGAAGTAAATTAGAACACCATCTGATTCTAGAAATAAATTAGAACACCAGAATCAGGGCTAGGGCTGGATGGGCTATGTACATCATCATCATTACCCTACCCTAGTGCCGCTAAGGCTCCCACTTACGGGTTTGGATGTACCCGGTCTTACCCCTAAAAGAGGACCCCTAAAAGAGGGAGAGACTGCACTACAGTCGTGTTTCCGGATGAAACATAGTAAGAATCGCATCGAAAATTGCATGGACAGACCGTTGCTTCATAACAAAGAAGCGTTTAGTGAACCATTGTGCTTTATTCCATCATAACAAAGGGCTATCAAAGGGCTATGTATACATATGCATAAATATTTATAAACAAAGGGCTATCAAAGGGCTATGTATACATATGCATAAATATTTATAAGCGGTAAAAATTTGACCACCTCATATATATATAAGTATTTAATGTACAAGATAGTACCTAAACGAACGAAAAGGACGAGGGTGGAATCAAGATAATGAGGGAGGAGCAAGGATTTGGGCTCCATAGTGATGAACCCGATATCGATTAATGGCTGCTTCTGCAGCGACTTCATTAATCTGTCGCTGCCACCGCTGACCACCTTAATCACCCCAGCTTCTGTTCTCACCACCTCTTTCTCTTCCTGCAACATGAACAGCTTCTTCTGCTGCTGCTCATCTTTCCCTTCTGAATCCGCCGCCTCTGCTTCGAACTGAAGATGACCTCTTCTACCTCCCCCAGCTGCCGTTGCACAATTATAAGCAACCAAAAGCAGTACCAACGCCAACAACAGGTTGTTCATACACGCCTGATTCTTCTTTCCCATTTCTTCTTTTCTCGTACGTTTCACTACCCAGATGATATGAATATATCTGGCTGCTTGTTATAGGAGCAGTTAATTAGTGATGGGTAAACTGTAGTGTGTGTTTCTTTCTTAGCTCGTGTTTATGAAAAGTTGAAGCGGTGGGGGTGAGGCTTATTGTAGAATTGAAATTGACAGGTGTAAGCCATGCAAACCGGACATGATATATACTCATAGTATATATGCTGGCCTGGCGTTTTCTGCCTGCGACACACGTTTACTAGAGAGCAATATACAAAGGATACCACACCAAGTGGTGGACGCAGGATTTGTACCTGCCCCTGATAAATGACTTCATCATACTATACTCTTTGACACAATGATGCCCTCAAATAATATTTATCTATCCTACAAATAGCTAGGGATGGACTCGGGCCGGGCCAACCGGCCCGCTACTGCGCGGGCCCGGACCGGCCCGGTGAACCGGTTTGTGCCCGGTTCGGGCCACCCGTCCCGGTGGTATAGCGGTCCGGGCCCGGGCCTCCAGTTTAGTGAACCGGTCCGGCCGGGCCGGGCCCGGTTCGGGCCTCCAACGGTCAATTTTTTTTTTTTTGGTAATCTAGCCATTGGGAGAGCTCCCAAACGGCTCTATAGCCGTTGGGAGCATAGGAGGGGGGTCTGGGGGTTAGGGGGGTGGGGTGGGGGTGGGGGGTGGGGGGTGGGGGTGGGGTATACAAAAAAAACTATTTATACTCCTATTTTCTATACATTTTTTACACCTCTTCTTCTACAACTCTTCCTACTATCTTATTCTCTACTCTCAATCTCTCATATTCAATCATCTTCATTCTTCATCTTCTCCAAATTCTTTCTACATATATATAATTTATATAATTATTATATCTACTTATACATTAAGTATCTACTTATAAATATATACTTATACACATTCATATTATAATTCTTTACACATTATATATACTATATATACTATACACATTCATATTTACTTGATATTTAGTTATTATCCTTACTATTGTTATTTACTTATATTTACATATTACATTTAGTTAATATATACTTATATATAAATATATTAAAGTATTAAGTATAAGTGTATTACTCATCTTATAGTAATATAATTATATATTATATACTATAAACATTATATTATATATTACTTATAATATATTTACACATTATATATACTATATATACTTATACACATTCATATTTATTTGATATTTAGTTTGTATCCATACTATTGTTATTTACTTATATTTACATATTACATTTAGTTAATATATACTTTTATATATATATATATATATATATATATATATTAAAGTATTAAGTATGTATAAGTGTATTACTCATCTTAAAAGAAAATTATTTTGAGTTTGCATGGTTGAATCGTTGATTGCAAAATTGAAAATTGATACAATAAAATGGGGTAGGTCACTAGTATAGTTTGCTACCCAAGATTCTGCTATTTGATGAAATAAAAAATAAATAAGAAAAGAAAATTCGTAGTAATATACTTATATATTATAAACATTATATTATATATTACTTATAATACATTTACAAGTTATATAAACTATATAGACTTATACACATTCATACATTTTATAAAAGTAGTTAATTGTTAGACTTCTAATTTATCTATTAAATTAGTTGATTGTTACATTTCTCTACATTTCTCTTTAAAGAAAAAAAATAGTTAAAGTAGTATATTTTTACATTTGTCATATTAATATTAGTTAAAGTACTTAATTGTTTCATTTTTAATTGATACATTGCTCATTAAAGTAAAAAAAACTAGTTAATTTTTACATTTGTCATAATAATATTAGTTAAACTACTTAATTGTTACATTTCTCATATTAATATTAGTTACTTGCTACATTTTTCATTAAAGTAAATGATGGAGTATATGGCCCAGGAACCCCCGGCCCATAGACTCCTACTTCTCCCACAAAGGCCCATTGAGTCCATGGAACATCCGAGGCCCGAATATAGTGGCCCAAGTTCAAGGAAGCCCGAAATACACACTGGGGTTCCTTCGGCCACCTTGGCCGAAGGCCCCAAAACTTACAGGATAGCCTTTTTTGGCATACCGAGCTACTGGGAGAAAACGGCAGAAAAGAGGGGCCTTCGGCACTGTAGAGCCCTCGGTATCAGAAAAGCCTTCGGTTGAATCAAGCCTTCGACCACACGGAGCCTTCGGCTACACGGGGTCCCCGGCCACTTGAAGCCCTCGGCTACGCAAGGAGCCTTCGGCCAAACAGGCTCAATCATCGAAGATTCCCCTTGGAGACAACCAACCACCGCATTTAATGTGACGTCACATCAACCCACCGCATTCAATGCGGTGAACATGCCACTGCCGGTGCCACCCGATTGATGTGACCCTTCGGCCGTCGGATTACTGACACGTGTACTCTCATCGCATTTATTGCTGCTATAAATAGCGGCCCTTATTCTCCTTGTAAACCACGCAGAGTTCATTTAATAAATCGACTCTCTCTCCTCCTATTTTGCTCTGACTTCTCTCTAATTATTCCCGCAATAACCCCTCGGATAAGACATCCCCCGGATAGACTATCCATCAGTAAAAAAGGTAGTAAATTTTTACATTTGTCATATTAATATTAGTTAAAGTATACATTTCTCATTAAGGTAAAAAGAACTAGTAAATTTTTACATTTGTCATTTTAAAAACTAGCTAAAGTAGTTAATTGTTAAATTTGTAATATTAATATTAGTTAATTGCTATATTTCTCATTAAAGTAAAAAAAACTAGTTAATTTTTACATTTCTCATATTAGTTAGTTGCTACATTTCTCATTAAAGTATTAATTAGAAGTAGTTCGATTTTTATACTCATATTTTAGTTCGAATTTGCTATAGTTTTTTTAGTCACATTTTATTATTACTATTGTACTCATATAAAATATTTGATATCATTTAATATTTGTTCAATTTTAAAGATGGAGCGTGGTAGACATTCTGTAGATGTGGGTAATCTCCATTGCAACCGCAAGAGGGAGATTGCGTCGACTCGTCCTACTTCACACAAAGGCAAAGGTAAAACGCGGGCGGAGTCTTCTTTTCAAAGTCGAGATGACTTTGAAACGGATTACCAACGGAGAGATGATACGATGATGTCCGACGAGCATCTACAAAACCTATTGTCCCAAAACGATCCACACTTTGCACCAGAACAACACATCCCGACAACCATTGATGAAGAGGAGCTCAAGGATGACGATGCGGAGGAGGACGCGGGGGGGGCGACGGGACTCACGGCACCCCGGATGATGAGCAAGACTTGGAGGACGAGGGCGGTTCAACCCAAACTAGTAAGAAATCTAAATCTCCTATTATTGAAAACAATTTTACAAAAAGGAAAGACAAAAATACCGAAAAATGGTACGCAAGTTGCAATCATTGCGGCAAAGAGTATAGCTTGGGAAAATCTGGCGGATACGGGAGTCTCACAAGGCATCTTAAGTCCGCCCATCTTGTGGAGTATGCGAAAATAGACAAGGGCAAGGGGAAGCAAACACAAATATCGAGGTTTGCAAATTCTCAACCCTTTGGTAATTTCTCCTATGATGATAAAAAATATTTGACTGGTATGTCTCTTTTAATTGTTGAAGAAAATTTACCCTATATTTTTTCCGAAAGTCTTGCTTTAAGAGATTATGCTCAAGGTACTTTAAATCCTTAATTTAGAAATTATAGTCGCAAAACGATTAAAAAAGAAGTTATAAGGCAATATAACTTCGAAAAAGAAAATTTACAAACATTTTTCACAAACTTTAATGGACGTGTTAGTATTTGTAGCGATATATGGGAGGATACTTATCATCATTTATATTATTTGGGTCTTACTGCACATTATATTGATGATGATTGGAATATGCATAAACATGTTCTTGCTTTTCGTGAATTCAATGATCGTCATACTGCTGATAATATTTATATTCTCATTGCGTATTTTAATTCAGTATAATTTGCTTGATAAGGTGTTTGCTGTAGGTTTTGATAATGCTAGTAATAATACTGCTGCTATACCTAGATTGCGTGAATTGTGTGGTGCTTCTACATTGATGGGTAGGTTTTTTCATCAACGTTGTGCATGTCATATTCTAAATTTGTGTGTACAAGATGGATTAGCGGCATTAGGAAATGCTTTGGAGGTAGTGAAGGGGGGAATTAAATTGATTTGGGCTAACACTCAACTAAAAATGCAATGACGGCAATATTTGAAGGAAAGACGTGTCAATTATTGTGCATTTCCTAAAGATTTGTCTATTCGTTGGAATAGTACTTATAACTTAATTCAAGTACTTATTAGATATAAAGAACATTTTCCTGCTTTTTTAAGACAAACTTGTAACTATATTATAAACCCGGCTGACATCGACACTTGTGAAAAAATTGTTAATGTTTTGGTATATTTTAATAACGCAACTCAAACTTTTAGTCATGTTTATAAACCTACCGCAAACGAATTTTTTGTTGAAGCTGTTAATCTCGCCGGCGCTTTTTTAGAATTTTCTGATGCCGCTTACGTTAGTTATTTTTGTGATTTCATGAAACAAAAGTTTTTAAAATATTATTCACATGTTCCGCATATATATGGTATTGCATTTGTTCTTGATCCTCGTTATAAACTTGCCTCGTTGCCAAGTTGTATAGATTACTATTATGTTTGTTTTTTTCCAACTCAAGAGTTCGATGATAATTCCATCGACCCTAAACAAGAATACAACGAGGTTAGTAATTTATTTCATCAATTATATAATGAATTTCATGCACAATATGGTAATGCACCCCCTCCCATGCCGCGAACATCTTCTTCATCTAAAGGAAATCACTTTTAAAATCTGCATTTGGTTCTCTTATGAAAAAAAAGTAGAGCAACTCCCGCTACTGAACAAAGCTAAGTTAACGAGTTTTCTTTGTATCTAACATTGAATGTTGATTATGAAGTTGGGGATGACTTTGACCTTCATAAGTGGTGGAAGGAAAATGAAAGAACGTTCCCGGTTTTATCAAAGATGGCTAAGCAAGTGCTAGCAATGCCAATATCAACAGTTGTAGTGGAACAAGAATTTAGTGCGACCGGCAACGTCCTAACCGATTATAGAACGAGGTTGAGCCCGAGCTCTCTTGAGACGCTAGTTTGCTTCCACGATTGGTTCAAGGCCAAACGAAGAACTCAAGAAATGACCATCGCTCCCACCCGCCACTTTATGGAGGAAACAATCACCGAATGCGGAGATTCCGATTGATTTTTTATTACAAAATGTATTACATTTTTTAAATGCATCCTAATTCTCAATTGTACTTCTTATTTGAAATAAATATACTTCAATTATTTTATATTATTGTGTACATCAATTCAATAATTCTAAAAAAATGTATTCAATAATCAATTCAATAAAATTAATTTGTAAACTTGTACTTCATATTTCAATAATTCTCATAAAATTTGTATTAATTTGTAAATTTGTAATCAATTCAAAATAATATTTTTATGTAAATTAATTAATTGGTTACAAACTTACAAGTTACAACTTCAATATGTAATTTGTTTAAATACTTATACACCTATTTTGTAAGTTGTAACATTTGTAAATTATAAATCAAATCACTTTTATAAGTAAAAATAGTTTTACTTAATTCATTAAATTAATTAACTTCTTTTACAATATGTATAATTTTCAAAAAAAAAATTAAAACATTTTGAAATACAAAATTGCTCCCAAACGGCTATATAGCCGTTGGGGCTTGGGTGGGGGGCAGGGGGTCCCGGGGGTGGTGGTGTGGGGGTGGGGTTCAAAAAAATCTATAAATACATCTATTTTCTACCATTTTTCTACACCTCTTATCCAACTCTTCTCTATCTTCATCTTCTCTTATTATCCTACATTTCTACTTATACATCTACCATTCTAAAGATGGAAAGTAATTCTTCTGTTATGCAAAACAATTTTGATAAGTGGAAGGACCCGAAGACCGGACTGTCGTGGGCAACTTGCAAGTGGTGCAAGAAAGAGTGTTGCTTGGGGCGTTCACACGGAGTCGGGATGCCAATAAAACATATGAAGTCATGTGACAAAGACAAAACAACAACCAACGATGGCGGAAATCCCAATTGATATTTATTAGAAAATGTATTTCATATTATTATTGTTTTCTCAATTCTCAAATGTACTTCTTATTTCAAATAAATGCACTTGAATTTTGTTTTTAATAAAAATTATTATAATAATATAATATATAATTTAAAAAAAATTATAAGGCCCGGCCCGGCGGGTGGCCCGGCCCGTGAACCGGGCAAGTGACCCGGCCCGAACCGGACCCGGGTTTACCCGGGCCGGTTCCGGGCCTTCAATACCTTGAACCGAGGCCCAGCCGGTTCAAGGCCTGAACCGACCCCGGCCCGAACCGAGTCCATCCCTACAAATAGCAAGTATAGCAAAAAAAGAAGAGAAAATAAATCTATTTTTCTTCAAAAGGGTCAAGGATAGATGAAGTATGAGAATAACTAATTGTTCAAGAGTATATTTTCATATTACAGTGTGATTTGATTCATTAGTTATCGACAGTCAAAGTTACCAAGCGGTGACTTTATGGCTGGACTCGGGCCGGTTCGGGCCCGGTTCGGGCCTGGGCCCGGCCGGGCCTCGGGCCAGAAAACTAGGGCCCGGGCCCGAACCGCCGGTGGGCGGTTCCGGTTCCGGTTCCGGGCCAAACCGGGCCGGGCCGAACCGGCCCACTTAATTTTTTTTTTTTTTTGGTCTCCTATTTAATCCCCTACCCCTCCCCCTCAACCCCAAACCATCCCAAACCACCTCAAATGGCCCAAAATACCTAATCCAACCTAAAACTTAAAAAAATTTCAAAAAAAAAAAAAAAAAATTAAAATCCGGCCCGGACCGGGCCCGAACCGGCCGGGCCGGTTCACCAAAACCTGGGCCCGGGCCCGAACCGCCCAGCAGCCGGGCCGGGCCGAACCGAACCGGTGGACCCACCGGGCCCCGGGCCGGGCCGGGCCTAACAGTAACCGGGCCGGGCCGGTTCCGGGCCGGGCCGCCCGGCCCGAGTCCAGCACTAGGTGACTTTAATGATGGATGGTCCATGATTCTACAGTTCTACTATACTCCAACCTGCTCATTTGGAGGGGAAGTAGTGAAGTACATATAAATAAATAAACAATGCGTAATACGAAGTACATATTATGCATTAAGAAATAATTGCAGTATTTACTATTTATGCCTGCTTAAATAAATAAACAGAACTAAATTTACACCTCATATTTACTTCGAATTTGGACGTAAACCTCATTTTCAAAATATCTCTATAAGGGCAAAAGTATGTCCTGTACAACCGTTTTTATACAAGACTGATTAATGCTATGCAATTCTTCATCGCACAGACATCTAATAAAATCCAATATCCTCCAAATAGAGTTTATGCCCAGCTCAACGCCCTACACTACCTTCAGACATCCAAAATCCGGGTCCAATGAAAGATGAAATATTTTTGGGCTGTGACATCGAGCATAACACCTAAGAGAACTGCACAACCCCATTTATCGTGACGGGCGGATTGATCTCAACCCGCTTCGCCATTCCCGCCTCAAGCAATTGTGGTAGTGAATTGGCTTCCACAGGTGCCACTCCCTTGGCAGTCCATAATGTGGTGTGGGCCCATTTGTTCTTCGAGCATATCTTTTCACCATCAATAGAACCAATGGAGGCTTCAATTGCAGCAACCCTTTCTGAATATAAGAGAGCGGTCATTTCCACAGGGACTTGTTGATGGAGAAAGGGGGCATAGCTTGCAAGAGCAGCCACACTGTGGCTTCCTTTATGAGCAAGCGTCACATGTGCTTTCTGAAGCCGAGTTTCCAAGTCTTTGTCCTTCAGAAAAGCTTCAGCTTCTGAATCCTTCTTAGCCACCTGTCCAAAGAGTGGTAATCAGGCCATTTACCTTATTTATCTGGGAATCTTATCTACTGTCATGGAACATAAAAAAAGTTACTACCTTTGTCCCACTTAAAGGTTCTCATTGTAAAATGGCACGATCATTTATACAATAATTAAATAAGGTTATTCGAGTATATTTTGAAAAATAGTTTAGATGGTTATATAATATAATGAGAGGACAATTGTGATGTAATAATGTATTACTTATCATATTTGAAGATTGGATTGTCTCTTAAAATAGAAATGAGAACCTTTATATGGGACGTTCATAAAAGGAAAGTGAGAACCATAGAATGGGACGGAGGGAGCATTAATGAGTCACACAGTCAAATGCTGAGTAGCGATTATATACATACAATACAAATATGAGTGCCTGACTACTGTGTGTGTGAGTGTACATAAATATGCGCTACAGATTTCTAATAATATTAGTTTTAGAAGCCTACTTATTATACTCTGTACATGTATATATAAAGAAAAGCAACAATCCACAACCACCTGCATAATTCATTAAGCGTTTAAATAAGATATGGTCATCCAAATACAAACCCAAGTGCCCAAGTGCCTAAGTGCATTTGTCCATTCACTCTATCACTGAACCCTAAGTTCTTCAATCCTAAATTCTTAATTCCAATTCATACTTGGTTTGATGGTCTCCCTATTTTTTTTTTTACTATCTTCAAGTTTTGTAAAGGTCTTTTCACATTTACTCCCAAGTCCCAACCAAGTTACTTGGTGAGTAAAACGAGTCACCAGTCAAGTACTAGCAATTTTAATGACACATAGGTAGAAGCTGAACCAAACCACCAAAACATAGACCTACAATGTTCTACACTTCTACCACATTCTGAAAAAAAAATTGACACTTAGGGGGGGGGGGGGGGGCTTACATTTTCTAAAAGAGTTTTGATTTCTTTAACAGGCAAGCTAATGGCAGCGAACACAATGGTCCCAACACTCCCAAGCTTCCTCTTTTCAATTGGTCGTGTCTCACCCCTCACAATAGATCTCAGTTGACCCAATACTTGTTCTACAGCTAATTCAAATGGAACCTGCAGAATACAATATTATTAAACTATACCAATTATGCAGTAGCAGGGCTTGTCTAGTCGAAAGAGCACATGATGGGTACATATCATATGATGATGGTATAACATCTGCAGTAACCTGTATTGAATTAAGATAATCAGCATTTGCATATAACACATCTCGTAATTGCTTTTCCCATTTGGCCCACTCTTTTGCATATGTCCCTTTGGTTGGCTCCAATCTGACAGAACAAAGAAAATTATTCTGCTACTGAGACATCTGATGTCTCTGTACTACAATGGGGGGAGGGGTAAAGGAGTAGGCACTAACACAATGAACAAAAAATCATTAAATACAGCATTTCAAGAGAAATATAAAATAATATTGATGTGACAGTGGTGAATAGAATTTTGAAAATCAATAATTCTTAGATTCAGTGTGTGAAGACATATACTCTGTACAAAAGGTCCCTAATTCATACATGTAAAAAACACAGATGGGCCGAACCCAGTCTATCTAGAGTTATACTGCGGTTATAACGTATGTACACCACTTAGTTATGATTGTATTTTGATATTTGTCTTGCATCAACTCAAATTTTATCTGTTTTAAATTCAATAAGACTACCATCATAAAAATATAGGTTGTTTTTTATTGTTCATTTGGTCCTTACCCATTTTTATCTCTATCATGCTGCTGTTCATCAGTGCATTCTTTGCACATAGAATTACAGTTGCATAGGGCTGGGTTTGGTTTGGATCCCGAACCGATCCTATGTATCCAAGGACTGAACCGACATTTTGGTTAACCGAATAACAACAACCGAAACTGAACCGTTCATAAAACGGGTACAGATTTATTGGAAACCAATTTTTCAGGTCAGTTTAACCAAAACCATATAAAACCGTTTTTCTATAGAAATAAATAAATTATTGAACTAATTTTCAACGCACTAAGGCCAAAGCAACTTGTATTGACAAGTTTGAGCCCTTGATTAGTACTACCAAGCCCATGGCTAGTAGCCTACACGGTGACAATGAAAGTTGCTAGGAGGTCCAGTTTATACTTTATATAGAAATTTTGGAGGAAGTCTTCTATTCTTCCGGTGTGGGACAAAATGGTGTCAGGCAAAAGACTGAAAATTTAAAGAAAAATAACACACCTTGGTATCGATCCAATGACCTCAAAGAAAACGAATACGCAGTACGACCAACTTCCCAGCGTGCTAGATGCATTCAAAATGAACTCGAGAAGGTATTATAGCTTCGGTAAACATCATTAACTACCATAATAATGATTATTATTAATGTAAAATTGTTGGTTAGGTTTGTTTCAAACCGATTACTATTAATGCCAAACCACTTTGAGCCCTTTTAGTCCACATTTACTCTGCACCATACACACATGCTGCTACTTCCAAACCATTTCTTGGTTCAAGCCTGGTTTACTCACCAATTGTACTCAGATCTTGTTGGGCCACTACATACTGCTGTACAAAGGGCACTGAATATCTTTTGGTAACGAGTATAAGGACCAGCACATCTATTGACAAAAATATAATTATGTTAAATAATTCTGTTGTCCCTAAATGAAATATGTATTTTTTTTCAGCCGTCCCATAATTATTGCTCATTCCTTTAAAGGAACGCCACACGTGGTTCACTGTAAACCTCTCTTCTTAAAAAATCACTTTCTTAACCTCCATGTTCAGTCAAATTGGGCAATAATTTACGGATGACGGAGTACTTGTGTTTTGACACTTTGACCCTAATTTCACCATTGCACATGACCCTAATTTCTTTCATAGCACTCATGGCATACAATTACCCACCTTAGCATGTAATCTGTGATTAGCACAACTCATTCACCTAGCCACTCTAATCAGCATACACAAAGTCACAAACAGCTACCCACCTTGCTAGGACATGTATATAAGAAATATTTCTAATACTAAAACATATCATATTGCAAAAATGACAAATAGGATGAAGAATGGTAACTCTGTCAACTTACAAATAACTGAAAACGAATTAACTTGCTCACCTCCGATGTCTGCTAGTATGGAGATTGTACAACTTCATTCCCTCCTCCAGAATAGATTTCACTGAATGCGGTAAAGGCGGCCTTCACATTGTAGAAAAAACACACATTTGCAGGGCAACCCAAAAAATAAGAACTCAATTGCTAATGATATAAATGAGTTGAGGTGACTGAAAGTCACAAGGACAGACCCTTAATCATATACAGGAAGTAAGAGCCTAAATGTGCACAACTTATTAGCAGAGTCCAATTACTTTATCATTTTAACCATGCGCATCGCTGATAGACACGCAAGCCGCTATCAATCACTTTACTGTTTTATGCAGCTCCCAGAACGTGAATCAGGCAAAATCACTAACAAAACCTAATCTTCTCTATTTTGTGAAACTTCTGATTAGTTCCGTTCCCATATTCCAAATCCCACATATGATGCTCCCCCTTTCAGCATATATCACTGAAATGATTATGTCATATGATGTAGGAATTACTTATCCCAGTACACCAGGAGCTTTATTCTATGAAATTCAAAGAAAAATCAGTATTATTACCCTATGAGAATAGAGCAACATAAGGACGAGATATGTAAAGATGCATTAATAGTTGGGGTACAAAAAGTGCTCAATTTGATTGCAAATTTGGGAGGCAAAAATTGGTCGGGAACTGAAAACCCTCTTATTTCCATGGTTCATCCAGACTTATTGTCCAAACAACTCATCCTTTGAAGAACCATTTCAAATCAAGAGAAGATCCAACGAAGAACAAAGTTCTTTTATTTGGAATTCAACAGTGAATCAATTATATAGTTTGAAGATAATGTCAAATATTATGATGCATAAAATGCTAGAAATATATCATTCTGACCTTTCGGGTTTTAGTAAAGGTATTTTAACAAGTGAGCCAAATCGCCCTATCAAATCAGTCTCGAACTCCTCACGGCTCTATGAAAACATGGACAAATAAAGGTCAATGAAATATTGAAGAGACAAACATCATGTAGAACTTAAATAGCTGAGCAATATTACCTTTCCATCATAAAGATTATAGAACATTAACAACACATAGCCGACAACTGGAGATGATTTGTCAAGATTTCCCTGTGTGACAAGGAAAAAGAGAATCAAGGGACATGAACTTCAGTAGATCAGAATGCTATATAAAAAGGCAGAGTGATGTACCGGATGGTTAACTCGGTGTAGTACTCGAAATATGAATACAGCAAGAGCATCAAGTGAAAATGGGTTTGTCTCTGTTCCTGCATGTTTGTATATATAAGATTCAGAAGCCACACCTTTTAAAAGTACGTAAAGATTCAACAAACAGAGAAAATCAAAATTGCAATAGAGAACCAACCGACAATCACAATCCAAAAACAATTGTTAAAGAAAAAGTATGTTCATGATAACCTCATGTAAAAACACATGATGCGCACACCACAACTTTGATATGGAACACTATCCGTTAATTCATGTCATCTTTGACATCTGTTTCACACTTTTACTTCATTTTTTCCATTACTTCAATTTCATACAATTGATTTGCACTTTTACAGGTTTCAAATTATTTGATTGCGCCAAAATCCTTTTATCTCAAAGCATATTAGGAGATGCACAACAAAAATTGAAATCTAGAAAAAGGGATTTATACATGATGACACTGGAGAGACATTCTGAAGAAAATAATGAAAATACCAAGTTCAACTGGAGACATTCTGGAGAAAAAAAAGACAGCAACCGAAACACTAGAGAAAATCTGAAGAAAAAATGATAAGTTAAACCCAGAGAAGATGTTCAGAAGAAACAAGTAATAATATACTCCATAGCAGCGTAGCAAATTCATTACTCCAAGGCAGATGTGAAAGTCTGAAATTGTAAAGTCGTAAGGCAAATTACTGACTAATTAAACCTATCATTACCAAAGAAAACACTTTTTAAGGAAGCCAAAAGTGTATGAAGATCTAGCTGCAGACATTAGGGAAAAAATATGGCACTACGTAAGAAATAAAACAAAAGAAAAAATGTTTTAAGAACCTTCGGAATCGGGCACAACTGGAACTGCAGATGCTTTAGTGCTTCGACACATATCCTCAATCTACAGAAATGAAATGCAATTACTTTAACAAATCAAAAGATTTAGGCTGCTCAGTTAAAAATTGACAATATGTATTCAAGCAGAGTAAATAAGGTATAAATCACGATGCGTTAAGCATTGGGATATGAATTCAAGTTTGCATTCAGCACATGAGTACACCAAAGTGACCTAACATTTCTTCGACTATTCTCTTGTAAACTCCTAATCCCTTCTCCACACTTCTATCAAGGAAACACCTAAAATATTTATATTATTTATTTATTTATTGAAATTAATAAGGATATACTAAATGATATCAAAGAGGTACTGTTTAAAGTAGACTGCTGGCAAGAAACATTACAAACCAAGGAATCCTCACAATGTTAAGTTCATCTTACTACCAAATTAATGAAAACCTCTACCGTAATTCATTCATCCTAGGTTCCAAGTTAAGGTTTATTTGGGAACGCGTTGCATCCCTGTAGGAAGATCTCTCATAAAAGTATACAACGTTCAACAAATCGACATTTGGTAGTTGAGGTGTGCCATAGTTGAATGCAAATGTGCTCAACACAAAAGTTCAAAACTAAATTGTTGGAGAAAAACAAGTCTTTTTTTTAAATATTACCTGTGCCCAGACTTCCTCATTAGGTGCATTCTTGTCAGCAAGCGTTATTGAATACGGTTTTGCCCTTCGTGCGTCTGCAACCTTCTGCCAGTATTTACCTGTTGAGATAAGAGGGAAATCAATCTCTAGATTTATTCATCGAAGAACAGTTGTAGTCGATATTCCAAACATTGATGTGACTGGAAATAACCATAGGAGCTTTTCTTTTGAGTAAATGATTTATGGACTAAAGGGATGTTAAATAATCTTAGGAGTTGGGAGAACACTAAAGCGGTTAAGTGGTATCTATACATCCGAAAATCCAGTACCCATATTTCATGCACTCATCAGCATCGCCGGTCCATCACAATCCTAACCAAGGTTGTTAAACTCGAGATCCTAGCTCGGATTGGAAGGGGTCTAGGAGATCGTAACTCGGATGTAAGATCCTAGAAAGAAAGCTACCATGCTATATATATATATATAAACTTAAAACTTTTCAAATATTAATAACACAATGTCATATTTCAATGGTATAAAATAAAACACGAATATGGAAAAAGGATTAAAAAACTCAGCTTGTAAATAAAAAATCTTACAAGTCTCAGAAGATTATACAGAAAAGGGACAAAGGTGTTTTTCGGAGGAGAAGAAGAAAACAAGTGTTGCAGAATAGGAGAACGAAGGCGACACTGAAGAAGGTGACGCTTGGTCATTTCTCATGTACGAAGGTGTCACTTGGGGAGTTGGGTCTTCGTAAGTTGTTATTTTTTTCTCAAACTTAGGTCGTTTCTGCGCAGTCTGCGTCGTTTTCGATTTCCGACCTTGAGCGTCATTTCAGAATTCCGACCAGGAGCGCCATATATTTTCAATCCTACAGACATGAATGACACAGATCGACGATTCCACGATCTAACGAGTTAACTCGTTGATCTGGCGATCTCCCTGTGATTTCCGATCCAAGCTACGATCCAGCTAAACCATAAACCCACAACGTGTAAGATTGTATGAGTTAAGTGGCGATCTTGATAATCTTGATCCTAACTATGCTGGGGTTGGTGACACAAAATTTACAGTGTTAATTAGTTGTTCAAAATTGGTTTACACTGCAAAATTCATGCAAACAAGCACAGTGACAAAGTTTTATGTTGGATGCCCTTCATGCCGCATCCTTAAAACGAATAATGAGATGAAATTCCAAAACCCTCATCTTCCCCTAGTTGCGATCAAAATATCATGAGACGGAAATGAGTTGAGGTGTCATTTATGGAATTAAGGTCAAATCTCATTTCTGTTGCATGATTGTGACACAGCAAAACCAACATGCACGTCATGGAACACGGCTATCCATATTTCATGCAATGTTTAAGTAAAGTATCAATAGACCATAGGTCATTGCCATAACAAACGTTGATTAAACAACTGAAAGTTGAAAAAAAATCTTTGAATGAACTAGTGAAGAACCACTCATACCTTTAATAAGATCACCCATTAAACTTCGAACTGGTCGATCATCCCCTAGGCTTCCCGGGGCACTCAAAATTTCCTTACAAAGTGCGGATTTAGCACAACCAGGTATTCCTGAAAATGAAAATGCAAGTTCGAGCTCATTAAAAAGAAAATATAGCAACTAATAAATAAGCATATGAATCCATCAAAAGAAACTCTAACTTTGCAATGAACACCTTAAAAAATAAGAAATGAAACCCAAAGTTGAGCACCAAAAAAATCATAAGCTATAATTTCATTCACATTCCTGATTGTAAAACCCCTCCTCCAAGCACCCCCAAGCTTTAAAAGCTTGAAATCTCACAGCATTGTTATTCACTCTCAATTAAGCAGTAAATAAGCGCCATTTAATTTCTGTTCTTGAACTATAATGTTATTTTATAAAAAAAAATAGAGGAACTCAAGATTCACTCACTTTCATATTACTTTTCATATAGTTGATGTCCAGTTGTATAGTCCGTTGTAGTAATCCCTTTCAAAAGAACTACCCATATTTCATTCTGTTAAGAAACGTTGCTCTGCATTGAAACATCCCAAGTCTCTATATACAAACTATATTTCCTAGTTTTATTCATTTGTTAATTACATGTTTAACTAAGTGAAACCAGGTGACTATGGCGACTTCCATAGGGTAAGTACGGGGACTAATGACGTCGTACATTGCTATCATCAATACTAATGAATCAGTTGAACCGGGGAATTAACGACATAAATATGAAGTAGTTCTTACTCTTTCCAAGCTCATGTCAGATACGAAGATATCCTGAACAAAATCTCAGTGAATTAACCGTGACTAACACTACGCGCTGAACACTACAGAAACATTTAAACGTTTTTCAAGCACCTCTCACTCTCAAGGATATCATCATGGATCCTTTTTTCCCAATTTTGTGGTTCTCGTAATGGTAACTACGGAAGGGGGGGTGAAATACACACATACTTCCTCCGTTCTTAAATAAGTGCAATAGTCAACTTTCACACTTGCTGAGACGCAACTTTGACCATTAATATATATAATTCTATATCAGTAAAAAATTTAAAAAAATCAGATTTTGAAAATTTACGAGACAAATTTAATAATATTTTTTTTCAAAAAATATATTAATACATCAATAAATAAAATGTAGTCAAAGTAGAACATGTGAATAGTGTAAAATTTGGAATGTTGCACTTATTTAAGAACAGAGGTAGTACTTTGTTAGCCTTGATGTGTTGCCAAATAACAAACAATGATATAACTATGATAGTTTTGGTTGTTAACAAACAATGTGCATAAATGTTACTGATGATATCTTGAGTTTGTACATATGAATCCGAATCAATATATTCTTTCAAGGAAAAAGGTTCAAATAAGCCCTTGTACTATTTCCAAACCGTCACTTAAGCCCCTGTACTAAAAAAGCATAATATAAGTATGCCTATACAAAATGGATCAATTTGACCATTTAATCAACTTTTGACCTGTAATAGCAGGTTTTTAATACTTAAAAATTCTAAAAAAATGTTAAAATTTGAAGAAATATATACAAAAATCGTGATAATTTTCAGAATATCAAAGTCATTATTTTTTAATTTTTAATAATATTTTTATATTCGACATCTATTTAAAAGGTTTTTAAAGTTTTTATTTTTTCTTTTTTTATTTTCACATTATTCTTTGAGTTTTTATTTTTTAAATTTTTTACTTTAATGTTTTTAAAATTTTATCTATTTTCATATTCATACTATTTTAATATTATTATTAGATTATTTATTCCTCCGAAGCGTTGGTCATCATCATGTTGTTTTGGCAGCGTGTGAAGTGCTCTTGAGGGTTAGTGTGGCCGTCGTATGCTTTGATGGGGTTCCCCTTGTATTTCTCAGGGATGGGGGCGGAGAGCACCCTCGTCGAGAAGGGGGTCCTCGTCCTCACTTGGATGATGGGTTCATCGCGTCTGTCGGTAAGTTCCCTTTCTAGGGCGCTGACTTTGCTTCGGATCGCATCATAGTCAGGAGGGTGGACCACTTGCGCTGCCGCGTATCCCGCGGCCTCCCGGACCTCCATGTCGGCTAAGCGTTTCTCCAGGCGGGCGATGATCTCATCCCTGGGGTCCTTGGCGGCCGCAGCGACACCTTGCTGGGACTGGACCCGAACTACATGAGCCTGGTTGATCTGATGACGGGCGTCATCCTCATGCAGTTTTCCTTTTCCTTTGTCCATCCGGGGTCGTTCCGTTGTCTTGGAGATGGACCCGAGGCTCTCCTTTGGCTAGGCAGGCTCGCGGTTACCCAACCAATCCGCCATTCTCCCCATAGGTACCCGACGGCTCGTGTCACCCAGCCTATTGAAGGCCGAGGTCTTACCACGAGGTTGGGCCGATGCACTCCGAGATCGAAGTGGGTGTCCATGGCGACGACGTCATCGTCGTTGCCGAAGAAGGTGACGACAGGAGGAGGAGGTGGAGGCGGTGGGGCCGTTGCGACCTTCCCTGTTTTGGGGGTGTTGTTTTCTCCAGTCGTGGCGATAAGGGCGCTGACGACATTGGGATCCTGGAAGATGCTGGCAACGATGGCCGATAGGGCGGCCTGGTTGATCTGGGGGACAACAGGGGGAGAAACCTGTTGGCCCGATGAGCGGTCAGCAACGCGCCTGTCCTCGAGCCCGGTGCGGGCATCTTGGGCAGTCTTGTTGAGATGGTTGCGAAGGTCGTCATCCGGGTCCTCGACCTCCTGGACGTTCCCTTCCTCAGCTATGAAGTCGTTGGGGACGTTGTCAGCAACGTCTCCTTGCCCCTCCTGGTACTCTTGGTTCACGGGGGCGTTCCTACCGGCGAGGTTCATTGACTTAGTCCTTCCCATAGCTGGTGATAGTGTCTGGTAATGACGAAGGGTACTCACTTGATCTGTTCAAGCTCTCAACGAGAGCACCAAATGATATAGTATTTAATTCTAGAGAGAAGTGAGAGCTAGAGAGAAAGTGAGTAATTAATATTTCTAAACCCCCTATAACTAGCCCCAAGGGGTCTATTTATAGGTAAAATGTGGATTTGGGCTCCTAGCCTTGGGCTTAGGAGGCCCATTACAATAATCATGCCTTCTTTGGGCGAAATAGGGCCACTAATGGGCTGAGTACAATACTTAGTAAAAAAGATAGGAAAATGCATTCTGCCAGGGTAATTCTTGGCCGACGCGGTGTCTTTTGGCCGATGCGGGCCTCTGGCCGATGCGGGCCTCTGGCCGATGCGGGCCTCTGGCCGACGCGGTCCATGGCTGACGAGGCCCACCTGTCCTTTAGGCGGTGTCCTGTGCTGGTCCGGTTCTGGCCGTTGCGGGACCCACTGGGCCGAAGGGGGCCACGTGGATGTTCTTCGGGCAGCATTGACTTTATGAGTATGTGGGCCATGGGGTCCAGGCCCATATACTCTATCATGACCCTTTTTCCTTCTTTCAATTTCTGAGAGATCGAGCATAGGCACAAAGGGAATTGGTCTAAGATTAAGAACTTTCCCAATAAATACATTACAACATACTATCTAACTAAGCAAGCTCAAATATGTACATGCATTACATATTAGGAAACTATGTTCATGCAAAAGCATTTTCGATAACCAAACTGATAATTAGACTAAAATTCTAAAACACTTTTAGCCTAAACGGTCTAGTGATTTTCAGTCCAATGCTCCCTTCAGGCCTTGGTGATTTTCAGTCTGGCTTGGATCCCAACTAACTGTTAAAACGATTTTGGAAAACCAGTCCAAACAATTAACGGCTGCTCATGAACAATTTGTTCGACCATTTCGACTTTAATATATTTGAATCGGGCATATGTTGCAACGCGTGTTGACCAAATACTCACCATACTTGGGTGGCTGGGTGCTCGAGTGTTGATCACCCGTGATCCACCAACGGTCCACCTGTCGACCGTTAAGGTGGGCTCAGTACAAAGCGTACATTGAGTTTGCCAACTTCAAATTTGAACAGGTACTTGTCCAAGAGTTTTCTAACACTAACCAACCTACAATTGGGAAGGATTTGAACCTATAATCATGCTCTAATTATTAAGAATCATTCATTACCATAATTAAGAGGTTGAAACACTACATAAACTCCTCCACCCTTAACACTTTCAACACAACTCAATACTCTCTTCTCTCTAAGTTGTACATTTGCTCTTCTATTCTATCATGAGTATTGAGCCATGAAATTAAGGGGTAGATCATGCAAAACATGGTTAATCACTTTCATACCTAACTTCATAGAGCTATGCGCATCATCTTCGAGCTTTTCCTAATCTCTAGTAAACTAACAATCTCTTGATTCGTTTTTCTACACTTCCACTATTGATCTTTATTTATTCATCTAGAGTGAAGATGATGATGTTGGTTTATCATTGAGCACACACCCCATGTACAGGGTGAGATGATTTATCTCATATGTATACGATTGAAGAGATCAATTGTGAAATCCTTATGGTCAAAGAGAGTCTTCCCTAAAACCTTATTCGATTGAGGAGATTCTATAAATCCTTACCCATTGGTTAGAGTGTGTTTGCCAAGGTATTCCTTGTGGTGTTTTTGCTCACGTACTTCAGGTATTGGAATCAGAAGTTCCTGAACTAGTGTAAATAACGTCATATCTTAATTTACTTGCACTATTATTTATCTGTGCTATCAACCACTTAGTTAATTAATCCATGCTTGCAAACTCGCGCATTCCCGCACATAGAAGTGTCTCCCTCATACTCTAATAATTAAACGACTATAAAAGACGTTTGGATTCTTCCCAGCCTCGTGAAAAGTATAAACTGAGAGCTTAAACTTTTCCTGTATCAATTTATCGATACTTCAACTGGAATTTTTTAAGCCACACATTTTTGGACTGTATTCCATCATTTGCGATGGAGCCAAAGGCTCGCTATTTTTTGGCTTGTGAATATGATGGAATAAAGCAAAATGGATCACTAAACTCTCTGAGCTTCTTTGTTATGAAGCAGCAGTTAGTCCATGTAATTTTCGATGTGATTTTCACTATGGGTCATCCGGAAACAGTCTCTCTGTGCTTTAGTACATGGGTAAAGCTGCGTACATCCGACCCCCCTTACCCCACCGTAGGTGGGAGCCTTTGCGGTATTGGGGTAATAATGATGACACATTTTTGGTGTGCACCTAATTCACTCACCCCTCTTAGGCTGCACATCCTAATTAACATGCCTTGTGTATCTGATTACTGTAAAAGTGTAAAAGACCCGGTATACGCATGGCGCGCCCAGAACAACAACTATGGTTTGAAGTCAAATACTCAAATGTAGGATTCAAGTTCTCACATCATCTTCAAGTCCAAAGTTTTTACGGATCGAGGGTACATATCCTACTGTTACTACCATCACCAGTGCTACTGTTGTTACTTCTACCTCTACTCCTACTTCCTTCTCTCAGTCAGACCATCTATTATAGCTGTTAACTCAGATAGCTGTGCGGCATAATTGTCATGGCGCATGGCGATCGCCATGGCTCAAAGGCACTTGTCATGGCACATGGCGATGGCGCATATTCGAATGGCGCATATAGCGCATATGGCGCTATGATGACAACCACTTCTTCATGGCAATGGCGTATATGGCACGCGCCATATCTAGCCATTGACTACTATGGTACTGTGCGGTTTAAATCAAAATTCTTTCAACTTAAAGTTAAGTCAAGTTATTCAAGTTGGAAAAGTGATGTTGGGCCTAGAAGCCAAGTTCAACTTAAAGTTCAAATTTTAGGTTGTTCTAGTTTCATTTTAAATTCAACTTTTTCAGTGTTCAGTATCAGGTTTCCTTTTTCCAATTTCGAACCAAGCTTAAAATAGCATGAGAAGTGTTGAAGTTCAGAAGTACATAAATCATAGTTTTCGAAGTATTATGGTTTCCAGTCCTCATTAGGTTTTAAGAGATTATGAAGTTGCAAGTCAAAGATTCATATAAATAAAAGTAGTTGTTTGTTATTCAACACCAATTGCCCTCAGAAACGTGGCAGCAAAATTCCTATGTTACTCTCTGGAAATTAAAAGGCAGTAATTTTATTTTCTTGTAGATACTATTATTTTTTAGATAGGTGGATGGGTTATAGAATGCAGAGCAACATAACAGTACTTATAAAGTGCTAAGCACATGAAAAAACTTACAAAATGATACCTGGAAAGAAAACTATGAGACCTTCATCCTTCATTACAGTATCTGCGCTAGAAATACTATGGCCAACTGGTGGCACATATTTCTCCTGTTCAAGATCACCTTCTTCATCTCCTCCATCAACAATGGCCAAGAAATCTTCAGACCTCACAAAGCTTCCAGCAGATCCAATCAACGCCTGGTTTTGTGGACTGCGCTTTGCATACTGTTCTAGGAAAGGCTCAGCCTCACTGAGGTATATGGATGTGGATAGTTGCTTATTCCCATACTTCCTGAGTATGTACACAGCCCTGGAAGCAGAAGTTTACCCAATTTAGTAGAGATCATAAATCCCAGTTGAAAAAAAGCTGCCAACCAGTATTATTATTATCATTATTAGTTTATTACCATTCATCTAGCATCTTGCTGAGAGCTTGTTGCTTGGCGGCTGAAGTGTTCCATATCTGCATTTGCCTGGGGCCACATAAGATTAACCAAATACCACATATTCACATTCCAAACCATGTGGCATGTGCACACTGTAATATTAAAAAAATCGAAACAAGGCATTGTCCATACACTACCAATTAACACATTTCCAGGATTTACACTACCACATAGATTGACCTTAAAGTAAAGGACATGCTTATTTTCACACTCATACCATTGGCCACTTTTAGCATCTGCCTTCTATGTGGGCATATTAAGACAATAACACCCAGTTCAATTATTTGTTATTTCAAGCAACAACATAATAACCACATGAGAAAACTATAATGCTGCAAGTATAGAGCAAGCATAGATAATCATGCTAAAATAAGGAGGTGTTCTCATGTAGCAATATAGTTGCAATTAAACACATTCAAAATCTGTTAGATATCAGGAAAAATGAGCAAGGTTAATTAAGTAACTCTTCTTTCCATGATAGAAGCAAATCAAAGAATGTAAGAAACAAAGAGCACGTGAATTGTAATCAATACATTATTATGAGATCAAATTATCTCGTTTTCTGGACTTTATAATCAACATTTATGTTCTTGACTTCTGATAGGCAGATGCAATCCATAGTGAGTTGATGCTACAAGAATTCAATGGGTTACAAAGACACTCACCTGAGATAATACGTCTTGTATGCCATTGCACCCTTCTTGAAGAGAGTTTGCAGGCCATTACGTATCAGGAAAGTTCTCAACTGCAAACAGTATATAAGAACAAGTTAGAACCAAGACTAACTACATGTATAGTGAGGTATTGGCAAAACCATGATTGATACTATACAGGTGTACATATTTCCTCTATTTTTTTAGAAATTCTGTATTAAAAACCCATATATACCTTGTACGTGAGAAATTTCAACTTGACCATTAGATTGGCGTCTTCATCAGCTAAACTATTTTTTTCATCATCACCTTTTACGATGTGACTGCTGCCTTTTAAAATGTCAGCCGCTGTTTCCCCATCAGCTTTGAATAAGTTTAGATCGACAAAAAATCCTAGGAAGAGCAAGAAAATCAAAGAATTCAAAAATGCTGAAAAGAAATTCACCATGAATTAGTGAGAGGGTACATGAGAGAGAAAGAGCTAGCATGGATAATGGCTATAGTATACTACGTATTTATTTCTCAAAGAACTTTTGTTTTTTAGTACAGGAGGACAGTTATAGAACCGAAAACCGACCGAAACCGCACTGATCAAAACCGAACTGACCAAAACTGACTGACTAAAACCGAAACTGACCAAAACGGACTAATCCGTCGGTGATTCGGTCTACAGTTGATACTTTTAGGTTAAAAAACCAGCCAAACCAAAATCAGCCGACAAAACCCAACCAAAACAAGCTAAAATCTACTGAAACTGATACAAATCGACTAATGACTCAAGTTTTTTGGTCCGATTCTCAGTTTCACCTGTTTTAAAAGTCGCTAAAACCGACCGTTAAAAAACCAAAACCGACCAAAACCGACTGACTAAAAACTGAAACCGACCAAAACCGATCCGATAAAACCGAAACCGACAAAACCAAACAGACGAACACCCCTTTATTAGAAAATATATGCCCTAATGAAGCTGAAGAAACATTTTTTTTGCGATATATTAAGATGCAAGCATTGAAGTCTATTTCAAAGAAGCTTAGGAACACTGAATATTATTTTAATCTGTAAAGCCTAATTACACAAGTTACTGAAACAAGCATCTGGGTTTCTGACTCAAAACTATCCTATCTAGATGATGCTTAAAATCTAGAGTGACTTTAGTTCAATGTAAAAGCACCATTTTCCAAATAGGGTACAAATTATCATCACACTGATTGTACCAATATCTTAAGCTGTTGGTAGCATTGTATTGTTTCCATGAAAAAATTCTAAACCAAATCGTTCTTCATCTGGGTAAGTAACAAATACATAGCATGATAGCAGTCATCGAGCATGGAAAAATGCACTCTAAAAAATTTAGCAGGTAGAAAGACCTTTGAGAAAAATGCCCTTGATATGTCTACAATCTTTTTCACCCACCTTTTCATTAGAGATTTAGAAAATTAATGGTAATAGTTCAAAAATTCTAAGTATACATTCGACAAACTGAACAGAATTCAAAGGTATAAAAGCCTTTTTAATACTACGTACTATTTTACATTTAAGTATCTAACAGAAGATACTCTTTCATTTGTCGGTCAAAGCTGAAGAGAAAGTTATGATTAGCAAGGAGCTAAGGCGTATATCTAAAAACCTTAAAGAAGTACATCTGTAAAGGAATAATATTACAATAAAGGGTTTAAGTGTATGATCTCTAACAGAATATATTATTACAAGAAAAAAGAAGATGCATACCTCGATATAGTGGCCACAAACCCGGGTTTTTCCTGACACGTGTTGAATGTCTTGTTAATAGATAAAAAAGGCTGACTAAATAATGCAATTTTCAATCCTATTGAAACTAAATGAAGTAAACAAACTTTTCGACAAGCACAAAAACTCATGATAGACCTCATTTCTTTCTGATACTGCCTGAAGACTGAATCATTGAACACATGGATCACCATTTTGAAGTGGAGGTTGTCACTTGATACATCATTTGTTTTGTGAAAGTTGTGGAAGCATTTAAAGGATACACGTTGGTGTCTTTCCCTAATTAAACGAACCACTTCCTGTAACAAGTAACGACTAACAAGTGAAAATTTATACACACTAACTGAAGAGTGGAAGAGTAATGATCAAAGAGGTCGGACAGAGGACAAATGTTCAATCAAACAAATAGATTTGTTTGAAGAGCAAAGCTGGCACACTCAATATCAATCTCACAGTGAAAATCCTAATAAACTTAGCAAATGAGAGTCTTAGATATTTAAATAATATCAACTAGTCTAGTTGAACCTGGAATTTTGTAGTTGAATAATCAGCAGGGTGGGCTTTCAAGAACTTTGAAACAACAGATCGGTCAGCAGTCCTTGAATGCGAATCTGATGCTTCATTCCCAAACCAATCTAAATGGTTTGGACAAAAAGCGGCACCAGTGCCATCAAGAAGTGCTTTGATTTGCTGTAGAGTGCAGATACAAAGTTACTTTTTTTTTTCAGGAGTAACTTTAAGAGTAACTTCACTGTAAGAGTAACTTTACTCTCTAGAAAATATGCCAGTAATTACCTGCTTCTCATCTGATCTATTTTCAGCACAAATTTCACGAAGGGTTGGTCCTAAATCCTGGACAGCTGGAAAATAAGCAACATTGCGCACACTTGAGACATCAAAAAATACACAAGCCAACAAAGTTTTGAGTATTGATTCTTAGACAATTGCAAAAGCTGACATGGTTGTTGGCTTTATATTTCAAATTTTCAATTAGCTAATATATTTTTTTGTCTAACCCAAATATCACCAGACTGCATGGTTGTTAGCTTTCCATTGTTTGAAATGCCATATTGAGAGAGTGTTCTCCATTGCTTTGGAAAAGCACTTTTGTACTTTTTGCTTTTAAAAAGATAAAAATTGTGTTTTTGAGATTGTACTGCTCTTAAAATTAAGCACTTTGAAGTTAAAAGTTGAAAGTAAGGGGAAGGGTGCTTACTGCTTAGAGCTACTTTTCAGTTTTCTTTTTTGTAATATTTACGAACACTATTTTTACCATTAAGCACTTTCTCTTTAATTAGTTTAATCACTAAAACAAATCACTTCTCGAAAGTAAATGCAAAGTGCAAAGTGCAAACACTGCCTGATTGTTCTAAACTGAATTGAATGTTCAGAAGACAGTGCAAGCAGTGGCAAGGAACTGCCAATTGCAAACAAAGAAAAATAAAATTTGTTGGTTCCGTATTCAGCTGGAGATCAAACTAAGGAATTGACTAAACAGGACATCAAGCATGACTATGTTTCCATATTTCATTTGGCCTGTGTAAGCTTGAAATAAAGGTTAAAGGAAAAGCATTAAAGCATATGCAAATTGGAGAGCAACCATGTTGGAGGAAAAAATCACTAAGTTAATTAGCACTCTATTAACTGCTTGAAGGTGATTAATTGAATCATGAAATTCAACCATTGGCTAAGAGAACTTGGTTAACCATTGGCTAAGAGAACTTGGTTTTTCTTTTATTGAGCCCATGTTTTGAAAGATCACATGGTTGTTGGTAAATTCCAAATTGGCTAAGATATTTTTTAGTCGAACCCAAATATCAGTAGACCAAATGGTTGTTTCATGTGGATGGAAGGTTTAGAAGCCCACATCAAACTAGTTGCAAATCACTGCCAATTGCAGGCAAAATATTGGTTGAATGTTTAGCTGGAGATCCAACAATTTCCAAGAGGGCCAAGAGGCTATTGAGAATGCAGGACATACAAGCTCTAAACTAGGGGCACAGAGTAAAGTTGCAGTCCCCGGAATGCTACATAAAAAAGAGATATCTTTAAAGATTATTAACTAAAACACTAATAGGACTCCTAAAATTGAGTTGCTGAGTAGGCAACTTTCGTGAACCTAGAAATAGTTTACTTATCATTACTAAAGAATTGACAAAACAGGACATCATGCATGACTATGTAATGCCGTGTTGCATTTGGCCCGTGCAAGCATGACAAGGTTAAAGGAAACACATAAGCACACTGAAGTAGAAAATCCACCTAAGTTGATTGTTATTACTTTTTCTTATCTTTCTAGTACTACTATACCAGAACCGATCCATATTATTAGGCCATGTCATGAATTTTGGCCCCGACCACAGCTCAACCGAAATACTTCCTCCGTTCTTAAATAAATGCAACACTTCCCTTTTTTGGCAGTTTCAAAATAATTGCAACATTTCCTCTTTAGGAAATAAGAAATACACAAAAAGACTCCAATACCCTTAATAATTCTACGCACACGATCTCTCATCTTGCACTCGACAGACCCATTTTCTAATTTATTTCCTTCCAATGGACATAAGACTCCACATTTGGCTTCTGCCATCATTATCAAGCAACTTTCTCCTTTTATCCCTGTTCATCTTCTTTATTTGTCCTGTGTTTCTTCAGTTCGTTTTTAAATTTGGAAGGGAAGGAAATCTTGCTTGAAGATTTTAACGTGCTTTATTCTTCGGTTACAATTGTGTTACAGGTGTGCTTTTTGCTCCAGCTACAATTTCTTCTCTTCCATCACTGGAACTCCACAACAGTCATCATCCCTTCTCATCTTCTCCATTCCGCCACACCCTGCTACCATAACTCTCCTCTATTTCTATTCCGAAGCAGAGAACCCACCGAGTGCTGATGATTACAAAATTGATTTACTGTGAACCATCTCAAGATAAAATGAAAGAAAAGACATCTGCTATGGTACTCCAGTCGAGCTATTTTATGGAGGAAAATGAAGAATTTAATTGAAAATTAAGGAGGAGAAGAAAAAAAGAATCGTCGCCGACAACCCCAAACCCTTATTTTGCATTCCAATTTGGTAGGATAGTGTACGGAGGAGATAAAGTTAATACTCACTGACAAGGGCAAAAGTGGAAATTACAAAAGCCTGCCCTCAATTCTTAAATCCCGTGCCCAGCTCTAGGTTGCAATTATATCCGAACGGAGGAAGTAATTTTTGTTGCATTCTAATTTGCCGGGGCATAGCTCAGCGGGTGGGAAGAGGGTGCCGCAAGTCTGTGATCAAAGCTCAATTTACATCCTGCGAGATAACTGTCCAATCGGTTCTGGAGGCCTAGGGGATGGTGTCATCCTTTTAGGTAATACACAGATACAAGATCTTCAAATTAATTTAAGACGAACGAAATCTTTGAGCTCTGTATGGGCATGCCATCATTGTTGCAGCAGCCGCGTAAATCCAAATCATCAGAAAACAAAATAAAAGCAGACCATTTCATATTCTAAGCCACACAGGCCCACACAGGCACTTTTTCAGGACCCAAGGTGAGTAGGTGACACATGGGCAATTCTGATTTTGTACCTTCAGTTTGAGGTTCCTAGACATCAGTCAATCGGCGTTTTGATGCCACTTACATAAACCAGATTTACTTTTGATGTGAACATTTGAGTTTATTTATAAAAGAATCTAACAGAAGATTCTGTCGGTGCTTCAGTTTTGTAGCAAAGTGCTACTCCCTCCTATTGAAGGAAAGAAATAATTGGGTTTAAAATAGAATATTATGATTAGCCGTTACATATCATTATCATTTAATATTGTATTATTACTTACCATACAGATGAGGTTACTACTTGTATAAATAGCAGCCTTTGTAACTCATTTGACACATTGAAAAATATATTCAAAAAATCGTTTCTCTCTTCTCTGTTATGGTATCAGAGCCACCCGAGCTCTAACCAGCCATCTCTCTTCCCCTATGGCGGCAGACGATCCCTCTCCCCTCTCAGCAAGGGGACCGCACAAATTGCCATTTCTTCTACAATTCCTTCTACCACAGTCATCAACCCCCTCACCCCAGATGGCTTAATCATACTCCACCCTAGCCACTTCCCAGAAAAACTTGATGGAACGAATTACCTGATATGGCGTGACCAAGTACTTGATCTCTTGGTTGGCTCTCATCTTGATCAGTACATCAGTGATGGTGCTGTTCCGCCACCTCCCAGTGACGCAGCAGAGCATCTCCGGTGGAATCGGCAAGACCGTCTCCTTCGACATGCTCTTGTCTCCTCCCTGGGCTCGGCGTGCAAACCGTTGGTCGGATCCGCCCGTACCTCTGCTGCGGTATGGAAAACTCTGGAGCAACTTTATGGGACCCGGTCAGCAGCTCAAATCCGCAATATGAAGGATATCTTCCGCCACACTCGACAAGGATCTAAGGCAGTCGGTGAGTATCTTCATCATCACCGTACCCTCGCCGACGAATTAGCTAAGGCCGGCCGTCCTGTTGATGATGATGACTTCGTCCTTCAAGCCATGGAGGGACTACGACCTGAGTTTGAATCCTTCACCAACTCTATTCGTACCTGTGGGGATAATAGCTTTGGCAACATCTATGCTCTGCTTACTGGTTTCGAGGCAACCCTGCGACAGAAGGAAGCTCTGGACTCTTCGGTGACTGTGGTCACCGCCAATACTGCTGCCAGAATCGCCGAAGAACAGCCTCGTCAAATAGCTGATGGGGAGTCGGTCGCACTTGCTGCTCGCAGAGGACCAGGCCCGGCACATACATCCTCTATATTGGGCCCTGGACCATCTGCCCAAATTAACAACCAGCCCAATCGTCAAAATAATCCAGCCCGGTATAATACTGGAGGTCAGCCCAGAAACACCAACCGACGTGGGCAGAATAATTTTAGAAGTTCCAACAATAATCTACCAGCCCGAAACACCCCTGGGAATGGTAATTTTGGGGCGAATCTTATGTGTCAAATTTGTGGCAAACCAAATCATTCTGCTCTCAATTGTTGGCATCGATTTGAACAATAGGCTTATCCTCCCCAAGTCAATGCAGCTATCACTAATCGCAATGGTTAGCTACTTGATTCTGGAGCCACCAATCACGTCACCAACAACCTGAACAATCTTACCTTGGCATCCGATTATACTGGCACTGACTCCCTCGTTATTGGTAACGGTAAAGGTCTTGTGATAGCACAAGTTGGGCATATGACCCTTCACTCTCTCTCCCTACCTAATACCCTTTTTGTCCCTTCTATTCATACCAATTTAATTTCTGTTGCCAAATTATGTCGTGATAATGATGTCCTAATTGAATTTCATCCTTCCTTTTGTCTTGTTAAGGACCGGCGAATGGGAGCAATTTTGTTACGGGGTATGAATGAAGGAGACGTCTACAGCTTACCAGATGTGCCCCCTCCGCTATCCCCCTCTGTTCATGTCACACAAAAATATTCCCTTAATAAATGGCATTGTCGTCTAGGACATCCTGCCCTCCCTATCACTAAAAAAATTCTCTCCTCCTTAGGTATTTCTTTTCCAAATGTTGCAACAGATATTTCCTTATGTGTCTCGTGTGCTAGTAATAAAAGCCATAAATTACCATTTGCAAAATCATCTCTTACGACTTCAGGACCGCTGGATTTAATTTATACTGATGTTTGGGGCCCTGCTCGTGTTACATCTGTTGATGGCTTTCGTTACTATGTTATTTTTGTTGATCATTATACTAAGTATATTTGGTTTTACACAATTAAAACAGTCTACTCCGATGGGGGTGGTGAATACATTACTTTAGGGAACTTCCTCCGAACATGTGGCATCTCTCACTTACTCACTCCTCCCCAC